AAGGTTGAGCGATACAAGATTGGGTTACTACGTACCTGATACAAGTTTGGTTGTCACTTACCTGTGAAGCGAGCTGTGCAGTTCCACGTGGAGGAAGGAGAAGCGGCCATAGCCGCGGAGCATCATCACGGAGTAGTGAAGGAGGGAGAGAGACCGGATAGAGGGGGGGAGACCGAGGAGGGAGAGAAGGAGGCCATAGCCGAGAGGTGAAGAGACGGCCGATCAAAAAAAAAAAAAAAAAAAAAAAGAAGAAGACAGCCGGGGTGAAAGGAGGCGAGGAAGGTGAAGGGGAAGAAGGAGGTTGGCGAGGAAGAGGAGCCGGCAGCCATAGCTGACCGGAGGGTTGACCAAGAGGGTTGACCGGGGGTGTTGACTGGCATTTACCGGAGTTGACCAGGGATTGGGTTGACAGCTTGACAGCAGCGTTGACCGGCGTTGACCAAGGCCGTTGACCAAGGCGTTGACCAAGACTTTGACCAAGCTGGAGTTGGTAACATCTCGCCAAGCCCTCAGCCTATCCCTTGCCCTATGGATGTGCACATACCCCTTGGTACTTGCTGAGTACAGTTTGTCTGTTTATCCTTTCTGCATCGAGTCTCTTCTGTCCTAGGTGATAGTACTCTGTGGATGAAGGATAGGGTCTTGTTGACCAAACCCACACGGGATGAGTAGGGCTAAAGGCCGTGTCTGACGACTCGACTGTCCTGGAGGTCAAACCCTCYCAAGGACCGGTACTGACCGGCGGGCTGCTCGGTGTGGCACGGTAGGCCTCGAAATCCGAGTTGTGGGCTGCACAACGGACCGTCTAAGTCTTGAGAGACCTGCTGATCGCGTCATCCTGTCTGCGACGTTAAATAATTCCTGAGGAGTTCGGGGGATATCCTTAAATGCCTCCTGATCAGCAAAGGTCTAGTAGTGACAGCCATAGTTAGGTCTAGGCTAGAGACCATAGTTGGCAGGATCCCTGTCCGGATTCTGTGAGTCTTAGATCGAGTCTATAGGTTTGTCAGTTAGGGGTCAGAGTCTACGTGGTGAGGGTTGGAACCACTTACGCGGTTGTGCACTTTTCACCATGGTTGAGACCTGCAGTGGGAAGGACACTAGCCCCTACACCAAGGAGCAGCAAGAGAAGATGGTCGCCTTAGTTAAAGAGAATAGGGAGAGAAAAGAGCGCGAGAAGCAAGCGAAGTTAAAGGCTATCGCAGATGAACAAGCGGCAAAGATGAGGGAATTGGAGGAGGAGATGGAGAAAAAGAAGAAGGCTGCTGAGGAAGAAGTGGCAGCAGAAGAAGAGAAAGAGAGAATGAGGATTGAGAGTGGAGAGGGGAGTAGTGGTGGCACGACGAAGAGGGATACAAATGTTGAGATTGAAAAGAAGATAAGCGAGTGGGTCGCTAATTTATCGTTGGGAGAAGACAAGGAGGCGAAATCTTATGTAACTGAGGACGAGAGGGCTGCACTAGCCAGTGAGCTAGCAGCAATGACAGACCCTATGGAACGGCGAGAGAGGGAGGAGGAGCAGAAGTTGGCATGGAAGTTAAGGATGAAGAGGGAGAAGAAGAGGAGGAGAGAAGAAGTGAACAAAATGACCGCAGAGGTAGCAAGGGTGCAGGAGTGCAGAAAGGAAGTGTTGGCCCAGCCAGAGGACGAGGCCAAGTGGGATAAGGTACTGGGGTACCTAGAAGTGTTGAGCAAGGCCTGGATAGAGGAGCGCCAGGCCAGTTGAAGCCAGGATGTAGCCTTGAGTGCCATGCGGTCAGGGTTTAGGGAGTTTGCGCGCGAGAGCGTCACCCACATTGGGGGCGAAGTAAAGCAGTTGAGGGACAACGTAGGGAAGTTCCGTGAAGGTGCCATTGAAGGTGCCAAAGCCATAGCCGCTGCAGAGGGCGAGGCCAGGCCTCGCAAGGACCCAACCAAGCTCAAATTCCCGGATGCTTATGGAGGGAAGAAGGAAGAGAACTTTGACAATTGGGAAGCCAGTGTCAATAGTTATATTTTACAGCATATCCTGACAGAGGAGCAAGTCCTCGTGGCCTTCCAGGCCCTCAAGGATGAAGCTGTTAGTTTCACCAGGTCTCTTGCGCGCGCAGCCGGGTGTGAAAACAACCTGGTTGCATATTCAAAGGTCACCCCTCTCTCTCAGTTCCTCAAGCTCCTGAAGGAGCGATTTGCGGACCCAACGAGAGGCGTTCGCGCCTCTGATAAGCTGCAAACGATCCACTCACAACAGTGGAGGAGTGCAAGAGCACTCAAAGGTACCATGGACGACTTGGTAGCCGTCCCGGACCATGGGGTCACTGAGACCCAGCTGGTCCAATTATTTTATCGTGCCCTGCCAGAGACCCTGGGTGGGCACTTCTTTGATAAATCTCAACAGGCCGGCATCACGTACGATGCGCTGAGCAGGGAAGTGGTCCTGTATGAGTCAAGGTCCATGCCAGTTACCACCTTCTGGCATAAGGACCTGGATAAGGGAAAAAGGTGGAAGGGTCGTACCATCTCAGGCCAAGTAAGGCCAAGGATCACATGATCCTTACTTTAGAGGAAGGTGGTACCGATGAGGTCCCATACAGTCAGATCGAGTGGGGCCTAGAGGAGGAGGACAATAGTATGGGGCAGGGGAGGTCTTATGCTGCTGTCGCGGCTGGAGGGAAGCCGCAAGGTAGAGGGGGAGGTCGAGGACCAGGCGCTCAGGGGGTTGGCGGCCAAGGAAACCGCCAAGCGGGAGGTAGGGGTCAAGGTCCCCCACCGAATCGCCAAGGTTCGAATCGGTCCCCGCAGCGAAGAGGTGGAAGGGCACCTCAAGGAGGATGGCACCCAGGGTTGCCACAAGGCAGGCCCTGGGAGGATTTGGGCTTGGACCAGTGCATATGGCAGGAGCGCGTGGACCAGGGTCGGTGCGTATTCTGTGGTGACCCGGCCCATGTCATTAAATTTTATCCTAAGTATAAACAGGCCCGTTGGGCTGCCCAGCAGTCAAAAGGCAGCCGCCAGTAGGGGTCGCAACTGCCCCTACTTCAAGGCCATGTGGAGAAGTGAGCGCGCGAACAGGACACTCCCAACCCACATGAGCCTATGGCAGAGGTTGCAGGCCCGTGCCTAGCTAGTTGTCCAGAGACTGCTTGTGTTAGCGTGTCTTTAGGCATGTCCCTCACAGGTGTGGCAGAAGAGTTGAAGGAGAGGATGCCAGTCTGGGCCAAGATGAAGAAAGAGAGTAAAGGACAACTGATCTTGGTAGATGTAGAGGTGTTTAGAAGTAGAGTAGGGGCCCTTATAGATTCAGGGGCCACTCGCAGTTATATTAGCCGTAGAGCGCTGAAGAAGTTGAGGCTAGGACTAAAAGTCCAGAAGTTAGCAGACCCCATAGTTAGTGTTCTCGCAGACAACCACACAATGCGTGTTGAGGACTATGTAGAGGGAGTCCAGGCGTACTTTCGCCTAGAGAAGGATGGGAAGGTGGAGAAAGTTCTCCATTCCCTAACTCTCCTCGTACAGGATGACCTTCCTTTGGACGTAGTATTAGGAATGGATTGGGGAGAGGCAGCAGGGGCCACACTCCACTTGAGAGAGCATGAGTGTAGGCTGCCTAGTCCGTCAGGCAAGGTTAAGACTGCCCGCCTGTTTCATGTGTCAGGTGTAGACAACACCTTGGCACATTGTTGTCTCATTGCTCCCGCGTTCGCGCGATTAGTAAAGGAGCGATTAGAAGAACATGTCTTTGTAGTTTATGTTAGACCTGTCACTGAGGCCAAGGAAAAGGATAGTTCCACAGATCCAACGATTGCCAAGCTGTTGGAAGAGTTCAAGGATTTGATTGAGTCGCCGACAGGAGTAGTGTCGTGACCGATCCAGCACAGGATAAAGATAGAGCGTGGCAGTATAACGCCTAAAGGCGCAGTTTACAGGATGTCCCCTAGAGAGTTAGAGGAGCTTCGCAAACAACTAGACAAACTCCTTGAGAAAGGTTGGATCAGGCCTAGTTTGTCTCCTTTTGGAGCACCAGTCTTGTTTGTTCTCAAAAAGGAAGGAGAGTTGAGAATGTGTATAGACTATAGGGGTTTGAATGCAACCACAGTGAAGAATGCTGAGCCGCTGCCCAGGATAGATGATCTTTTAGATCGGGTGCAGGGTTGTAAGTATTTTTCCAAGATAGACCAGAAGTCCGACTATGATCAGATAGAGGTCCATCCTGATGATCAGTACAAGACTGCGTTCCGGACTCGTTATGGGCACTATGAGTTTATAGTGATGCCCTTTGGACTAACCAACGCGCCAGCTACTTTTCAGCGTTGTATGAATGATTTGTTCAGACCATGGTTAGATAAGTTTGTAGTAGTTTATCTAGATGATATCCTAGCTTTTAGTAAGACCCTCCAGGAGCACCAGGGTCATCTGAGGCAGGTCTTGGAGAAGCTACGAGAGGCTAACTTCAAGATCAACGCAAAGAAGTCCAAGTGGGCCAAGACACAAGTCCTGTACTTGGGCCACGTGTTGGACGGAGATGGCATTAAGCCAGAGGACAGTAAGATAGCGACGATTAGAGATTGGCCGACGCCCCTCACACTGATAGAGTTGCGGTCGTTCCTAGGCTTAGCTAACTACTATAGGAAGTTCGTGAGGAACTTCTCCACTATCGCCGCTCCCTTGCGCAGATTGCTAAATAAAGAGGCAATCTGGCAATGGGACAAAGATTGCACGTTTGCGCTAAAGAGATTGAAGCGCGCCTTAATAGAGTACCCTGTCCTCAAAGTAGTTGATCCGTCCTTGCCATTTGTCGTCACCACGGACGCAAGCCAATATGGGATAGGCGCCGTGTTGCAGCAGGATGACGGCAATGGCTATAGACCCGTAGAGTTCATGTCAGCGAAGATGCCCTCAGAAAAGGTTGCCACCTCGACGTATGAGAGAGAACTCTACGCTCTCAGGCAGGCTTTAGAGCATTGGAAGCATTATCTGCCTGGGAGGCACTTCAAGGTATACTCAGACCACGAAACTCTTAGATGGTTAAAGACTCAGGCCAAGATGACACCTAAGTTGACTAGGTGGGCCGCAGAGATAGACCAATATGACTTTGAGCTTAAGCCAGTGAAGGGCAAGTACAACGTAGTTGCGGACGCTCTGAGTAGGAGATCAGACTACTTTGGAGCCATAGTACACTATCTGGATATAGGAAGAGACCTGCAGGAGAAAGTAAAGCAAGCGTATGCGCATGACCCTATCTATAGCAACCTCCTGAAGAGAGTTAGAGAGGCCCCGGAGACTGAACCAGATTACCGCACTACAGACGGATTACTGTTTGAGAAGACCAACGTGTTTGACCGCCTGTGTGTTCCCAATAGCGAAGAGATCCGCAGTCTGATTTTAGGGGAATGCCACGATATTGAAGGGCATTTTGGTTGGCAAAAGACATTAGCCAATCTGATGCATGCATACACCTGGCCAGGGATGAAGAATGACTGCATAGAGTATGTCCGCAGTTGCAAAGTGTGACTGCATAGAGTATTTCCGCAGTTGCAAAGTGTGCCAGAGGAATAAGTCTACTACATGCGCGCCCCTAGGTCTTCTCAGACCCTTGCCTATTCCGGATCAGCCGGGAGACTCAGTGTCCATAGACTTTATGGACACCCAAGTCAAGAGTAGACATGGTAAGAGCCAAGTCATGGTCATAGTTGACCGTTTTAGCAAGTATGTTGTTTTTGTTCCTTTACTTGCAGAGGCACCTACAGACTTAGTTATACAAAAGTTTTTTTACTTTTGGGTTAGTGAGAATGGAATCCCATTGTCAATAGTTAGCGATAGAGATAGTCGTTTCACCAGCCAGAACTGGCAAGAACTCATGAGAGTCTACGGATCTAAGTTGCTAATGTCGTCCGACCGCCATCCAGAGACTAACGGTCATACTGAACAGATGAACAAGATCCTACAACAAGTTTTGCGCATGTACATTAGACCTGATCAGATCAACTGGGACGAGATGTTGCCCAAGGTAGCTAGCGCATACAACAGCAGCGTGCATTTGTCCACGTGTCGCACTCCCAATGAGCTGCACAAGTCCTTTAGGCCGCGCAGACCATTCGAAGGACTGAACCGGGATCAGATCCACAGGCTACCACCCGGTACTAGGGAGTTCGCGATACAGCATGAGAAAGAACTAGCAACAGTAGTAGAGAACCTCAAGAAGGCCCAGCATAGGATGATAGAACAAGCTAACAAGCACCGTCGCCCGTCGCAGTTTCAGGTAGGCGACTTAGTCTGGGTCAAGGCTAAAGAGTTTGCACCTGAGGAAAACATCTCGCAAAAGTTACTGCCTGCATACAGAGGACCGTGGCCGGTTCTAGAAATCAAGGGCGGAGAGGATGGACCGTCCTACAGTATCGAGATTCCAGCACACCTACACACCTACCCGGTGTTCCATGCTTCAAAGTTGTTGCCGTGTGTCACAAGTCAACAGTTCCCTTCAAGAAGATTCATGATCCCTCCGGATATGGATGGAACCTATGACATTGACGACATTGTAGATGAAGATGTCTTCAGGGCAGGAGGTAGAGGTCGTCCACAGAAACAGTACAAGGTCTGGTTTGCTTATCAGGAACCGGAAGACGACCGCTGGTTCACAAGAACAAAACTTCTAGAAACAGCTCCCGATATAGTCAGAGCCTATGAACGTGATAAGAAGGGTAAAGGTCCTGCCTTGGGCTGAAATATTCTCGGAGGACCTCGAATTTAGGACGGCGGAAGTGAAACGGTTTTCACCTTTTAGCAGTAGCAGATGCAGTGCCCAGGGCTCGATCCCTAGACCTCACCCTACCCATATGTACAGTATCTGTGTATACCCCGAGAATTGAACCTGTGACCTGTGTATTCGTAGACAGTTGGTAGGTCTGTCGTAGGTCTGTAAGCAGCAGGGGTTCGTTCGATATGTAGGTCTATAGAGTAGAAGTCTTAGCAAGTTCCAGAAGTCTAGTTGTAGTCCTTCTAGAAGGTTGGCAAGTGGGCAAGTGGTCAAGTGGCGAGGCAAGTGGTGGACTAAACTGCAGTGCAATCGCAGTAGGACGACGGTAGGATACCAGTAAGTCCACAGTCAGTCAGCGGTAAGGGCCAGTCAGTCCCAGTTCGGTCCATGTGGCATACTGCGTAGCCACACGGGCCCTGCAGGGCCCGTCCCGCACTTTCAGTCTAAAAGCCTAGAAAATAGGGCTTACAGGCCCCGGTCGTTTCAGCCTGAAACTGAAAAACGAGGGCCTGCAGGCCCTATTCCGTTTTCAGCCTATTTCTGGGCCTTTCAGGCCCAGAGGCTTTTCAGCCTGAAACGGAGGGCCATTTTTAGGCCCTCATTGTGTTCCACCTACCCTAAGACTCAGGCACAAAAACAGGGTTTCGGGAACAGGCTATTTCTGGCCTGTTCCCCACGACAGCTCGAGCAGGAGCTGCAGCGGCAGCCCCTGCCTCCCTTTGGCATTGGCACGAGCAGCCTCCTGGACTGCCTCGCCTGCAGTCAGGAGGCACCCGAGTAGTACATAGGAAGTTCCCATGCACTTTACGGGTAGGTAGTTGGACAATAGGCACGAGTAGTCTTCAGGATTCGGCCGCAGCACTCAGGAGGAGCGCTGCCAGGAGTAGCTTAGCGCTAGCAGTAGTCTTCGGCGCTGGGCGCTAGTAGCCATAGCAATAGTCTTCAGCGCTGGGCGCTAGTAGGTGGTAGTGGTAGTGTGGGAGAGAGATGGCTGGCGGAGGCCAGCGAGACTTACCTGTGGCGCCATAGCTCCAGCTCCATCTTTGAGGTACCTGCATCGAGGCGCCATCTTCACAGGTTAGTACTGGACACGCACAGACAGAGAGAGAGAGAGAGAGAGAGAGAGAGAGAGAGAGTTCTTCTTCTTCCTCTTCTATGTCCACCATCTCTTCTTCCCCTCTCACCACCTGACTTATCAGTATCAGCGGACTACTACAGAGAGAGAGAATTGTGACTTGGGACTTGATGACATTGGATCCAGACTCGACATTTGGGATTCAGACATCTTGACGAGGGACTATTTGGGCCTGTGCCGAAGACTTGGTGTTGACGACATTCCCATCTTCCCCCTCCTCTCCGTCTAACCCCCTTCTTCTTCGTCTGTGTATGGTTGGGGCTGGCGCAGTCTTCCTGTGTGAAGCGCCAGACCCCTTTCACACCATGGAACGATGATGATGATGTATGTTCAGGGCTGCATTGCAAAATTGATTGTTCGGATCATTGGTATCTAAGTCTTCCGCTACGCTATCTTGTACTTTGTATTGAGAGGTCGGTTCTTGTTCTGGTTTGCACCGTTATAGTATGCAACAGTCCAGCAAGTACCACGGGGGACTGTGAGCACCATGGGCCGATGGCAAAGGGCAGACCAACGAGTTTCTGAAGTATAAATCAAGAGGCAGCGCCCAACCTTTCATTCATTCCTGCGTGAGCCATGCGGAAGCGCTGCCACAAGTGACTTGTGCAAGGAGGTCTGCAGATGAGCCCGGAGGACGCAGTGGGCGAGAGAGGAGGAGTTAGCATAGCGATAGGGTAGAGGCAGCCATAGCTGCCATAGCTGTAGTTAGAGTGAAGTGTGTGTG